GGACTAACGAGAACCTGAAATAAAGGAAGAAAAACAACAAGGAAATCAGGAGACAGTATCTAGAAAAACCAGCAGAAAAAGTATCAAACAGAAGTAACAGTTCAAAGAAGTTCAAGAATATTAAATCTGGTACTGGTAGTGACAAACATTTACAAACCAGAAAACTTGGATACTGTACACAATAACAACAGCGCAATGAAATAATTGAAAATATCAAAACCCCTGACCAAGGCTTATTCTTAAACCCCAGTTCTACCAATATAGAATGCAAAAGACCACCTCCTCAGGCATCCATATAACCATGATGTAAAAGACAGAAAATATATTCATATCAAGTAAAATCAATAAATCAATGAGGTGATTGGCAAACCATGCAATGATATCCATATAAGGTACTTACCACCAAAAGGTGAAGATGCTGGAGATGCTCCAAAGGCCGGAGTGGAATTCCCGAATGCTGGTGATGAAGAAGCTCCAAAAGTTGTAGTGGAGGCGAAGGGAGAGGAGGCTTGAGGTGCACCAAACACGCCGGTTGAAGTGCCTCCAAATATTGAACTTCCTGTCTGTGCAGCAAATGGTGCAGGCGTGCCAAAGGGTGTTGCTGGAGCAAAGGGATTACTATTTGCATTGCTGGTCTGACCAAACAAAGATTGGGACCCAAATGGGCTGCTACCTGATGACTGGCCAAAAGCTATAACAACAATATTTCAGAAGGTCAATTTTATATCATATTACAAAATACAAACGAAATAAATAGCATAGAGCTATTTAAAAACATAAGATAAGACAGGATCACTTACGATTAGATGAGCCAAACATCTTCCTCTGTAGTTTCACAACTCGGGCTAAGCCAAAAGAAATTATATCTTGTAGCTGGTAAGTGAAAGAGAAAAAATCTATCAGGAAGATATAACAGCAGAACAAAAAGCACATAAGCAACACATACAGGTTAAGCTGGTTTCGAAATTCAAACACAATAAACATCCATGATTAACCTAGAATTCAACATCTCATTGAAATAAAGTCAACAAGTTAAGTTGGTTCATGAGTCTGGAGAAGAGAAGGAAACTAAAAAACAAGTTACAGAGAGTTCACAAAGACCACAAAAACGTTTCACCAATCAGCTGGGGAACAAGAATATGCATAATAATCTGGAAGTGCTAGGAGATGACGAACCTATAAACCTATTAACTACGCAATTAATCATAAACGAATCCAGTGATAACGAACCTCTACAACCATCGAACAAAGCAACATCACAATTAGAAACCATCAACTCAGAAATTGACTATACAAAACGAAACCGAGACTAATCGAGATATAACCTCCAGCAAAGAACGAGCAATACAACAATAAAATCAAACCTGAAACCAATCTTAATGTAATTTCGAGAAAGAACGAAGAGTACCTTTGAATCCGATGGAAGAAAAGACGAACAAAGGTCACAGGTTCTTCGATCAAACAAAAATATACCACACCAAATACCAAACGATTCTCAAATAGACAAGGCTCAGAAACTCCGATCGTCGAAACTTGTCTCCGTGGAAGAAATTAGGGTTCAGGCGAGAAAGGGAGCAGAAACGAATAGGTTCGGCGTCGAATTAATTGTAAAGCAAAACGGATTTAGGAGGGAAATAAAACCTGAAAACTACGAGCTCGATCTGAAACCGACGAAGTACGAAGAAATCTCGCCGGAATCGAAAACACGACAGTTGCAACTCGCCAGAGGGACGACAGACGAAGAATCGCTTCTACCTGCTTGCGAGTCTAATTTGCTCAAATTAGTTTTAGGCGATGCCATTAAACGCTATTATATCCGTTCCTTTTATATTAAAAAAATAAATAAATGGTTTATTTATCTTTTCTCGTCAATGTAACGCCACTACGCAAGTCTGTAACCCATTTTTATATAGTAAGTATAGAATAATTAGAGAAATTTAAAAAAATGCCACTTTTGCATTTTACAAAAATAATGTTGTATTTTTGAAATTTTTATAAAAATATCATTTTTTCAAATTTTTTTTTTTATATTATTTATATTTGGGTTAATTATGTTATATTATAGTTTAGTTTTAAATGTTTAGGGGATTTTAGGTGTCAAAACATT